CCACACTCTACTTCCGGTTACCCGGCGCCCCACCCAACAGTCTACCCGTCACCCCAGCGGCCCCACCCACAGTCTACTTCCAGTTACCCGGCGCCCCACCCACAGTCTACTCCCAGCTACCCGGCGCCTCACCCACAGTCTACCCGTCACCCCAGCGGCCCCACCCACAGTCTACTTCCAGCTACCCGGCGCCCCACCTACAGTCTACTCCCAGTTACCCGGCGCCCTACCCACAGTCTACTCCCAATTACCCGGCGCCCCACCCACAGTCTACTCCCAGCTACCCGGCGCCCTACCCACAGTCTACTCCCAATTACCCGGCGCCCCACCCACAGTCTACTCCCAGCTACCCGGCGCCCCACCTACAGTCTACTCCCAGTTACCCGGCGCCCTACCCACAGTCTACTTCCAGTTACCTGGCGCCCCACACATAGTCTACTCCCATTTACCCGACGCCCCACCCACAGTCTACTCCCAGTTACCCGGCGCCCCACCCACAGTCTACTCCCAGCTACCCGGCGCCCCACCTACAGTCTACTCCCAGTTACCCGGCGCCCTACCCACAGTCTACTTCCAGTTACCTGGCGCCCCACACATAGTCTACTCCCATTTACCCGACGCCCCACCCACAGTCTACTCCCAGCTACCCGGCGCCCCACCCACAGTCTACTCCCAGTTACCCGGCGCCCCACCCACAGTCTACTCCCAGCTACCCGGCGCCCCACCCACAGTCTACTCCCAGCTACCCGGCGCCCTACCCACAGTCTACTTCCAGTTACCTGGCGCCCCACACATAGTCTACTCCCATTTACCCGACGCCCCACCCACAGTCTACTTCCAGTTACCCGGCGCCCCACCCACAGTCTACTCCCAGTTACCCGGCGCCCCACCCACAGTCTACTCCCAGCTACCCGGCGCCCCACACATAGTCTACTCCCAGCTACCCGGCGCCCCACCCACAGTCTACTCCCAGCTACCCGGCGCCTCACCCACAGTCTACCCGTCACCCCAGCGGCCCCACCCACAGTCTACTTCCAGCTACCCGGCGCCCCACCTACAGTCTACTCCCAGTTACCCGGCGCCCTACCCACAGTCTACTCCCAATTACCCGGCGCCCCACCCACAGTCTACTCCCAGCTACCCGGCGCCCCACCTACAGTCTACTCCCAGTTACCCGGCGCCCTACCCACAGTCTACTTCCAGTTACCTGGCGCCCCACACATAGTCTACTCCCATTTACCCGACGCCCCACCCACAGTCTACTCCCAGTTACCCGGCGCCCCACCCACAGTCTACTCCCAGCTACCCGGCGCCCCACCTACAGTCTACTCCCAGTTACCCGGCGCCCTACCCACAGTCTACTTCCAGTTACCTGGCGCCCCACACATAGTCTACTCCCATTTACCCGACGCCCCACCCACAGTCTACTCCCAGCTACCCGGCGCCCCACCCACAGTCTACTCCCAGTTACCCGGCGCCCCACCCACAGTCTACTCCCAGCTACCCGGCGCCCCACCCACAGTCTACTCCCAGTTACCCGGCGCCCCACCCACAGTCTACTCCCAGCTACCCGGCGCCCCACCCACAGTCTACTCCCAGCTACCCGGCGCCCCACCCACAGTCTACTCCCAGCTACCCGGCGCCCCACCCACAGTCTACTCCCAGCTACCCGGCGCCCCAACCACAGTCTACTCCCAGTTACCCGGCGCCCCACCCACAGTCTACTTCCAAGTACCCTGTTTTGTGTATGTACATATACCCAAAACACCCCTGCCTACATCACTGCATCTTCATAGTATGGCTATTATTGATTTAATTAGCAGTTCCGATAATTATTTTTTTAAAATGTGTTTTGATATAATAAAACCCAAAATTAAATGATAATTGGAATGTTTAATTAGTGTCATTTTCCCTAATACAAACATAATGTAAATTAAGGAGTCGTCCATGAATGACGTCACATGTGGGGGTGAGGGGGTGAGCAGTGGCGTGGACATTTGGAGCAAAGTGGGAGCAGATAGATCAGGAAAGTGACGTAACATTAATTTGTTCATCTATAGATACACGGCATTTTACTGATGTATTTGTTTTTCAACTTGATAATGCAAAAAAAACCTACCAAGCTATTTTGTTTAGAACGTAAGCTCTAAATATTTTTACAATAGCAAATTATAACTTAAAGTTGTAATTATATGTAAGCGATCAACCTAAGGTGAAGGAATTTAAAATGAACGTAAAGTTAAGCAACGAATTATCTCCCATTTGAAAATTCCAATACCAAAATTTTATTCAAGGGAAATAACTGTCACAAGAATTGCTAAATTAACCAAGTGTAACTAAGACATGCTTGAAAAACACAATAAAACGCTCTAAATTTCATTAGGTAATAATTATAACAAAAAATTTATATTAGCTATGACAACTTGTGAAAACAATATATTCTATCTATTGAATACTTAACTGTATGTTTTGTTTGAAAGTCCGAAAATAGTAGCTTTATTATAACATACTTCTATTAAATTTTGATAAAAATCAATCAATTACATTCTTGAAGCACACATTAAGATGAAAATTTGAATCAAATAAATTATCATTTTTTTTTTTAATTTTTTTTTTTTTAATTTTGAAAAATTGCTAACTACAAATTTTATTTTAACTAGCTCCTATTATCCAATTGTAGTCTTTTTACATCCATCATTTAATCACTATATATACAATCTATGATCATGTTTTTGAAAGTGTATAAAACTACTAAATACATTATTATTAATATTTTAATTGTTTAAAAGAAATGTAATGTAACTACGACCCCGATTCGTTTAACTTCACCAAGCTCTACAAACGGTACTCCCAATCAACAATTTTTTCACTGGACCTAGTACTACACTTTAACAAACAATATAATTCGATTCCTTAATACCACAAGAATCAATACTCCCGAACTCCAAAACTACGATACTTCATCACCTGTATTCTCATTTCTCTATTACCAATCAGATTCCACTAGACCTTCAACTACAAAACAGCCGAATAAAATTTTGACACTTTAACACTTCGATACTTTATACCCACGAAACCAAATCAGCAACAGCCTTCCACCGTTACTCCCAAATCTAAACAATTCATCAAAACTTACCAAACAAGTACAATACTTTGAACACCACGTCATTACAAAACTCTATACACCAGGACAGATTTCTAATTCAAAGTCAGAGGAAACGAGACTTACAAGCCCTATTAAAATTAGATAACCGTTTTAAATGTTCGAAATTTAAATTACGTACTTATTTAATCGTTTTCTACGTCAATTATGTGACAACAAATTAAAAAGTCAAAGTGACTGGTAAAAAGCGCCCCGACCTTTCCAAATTAGGGAGATGGGGTTGCATTTTCACTATCACGAATAAATATAGGCCTATATTTTGGGGTGGGTGTGCAAAATTGATAGTACGTCCAGGGTGCCGAAATAGATCGCTACTCCTTTATAAAAGTTATTAATTATTAGGTGCTTTTTTTTTATAATAGCGATTAAACCTTTTGCGCCCCCTTAGGGATGGCGCCCTAGGCGACCGCCCTGTTCGCCTTACAGGTAGCGCCGGCCCTGGGGGGGGGGGGTCTAACATATTTGTCATGTCTTTAGGGTGCACTGTGCGAAAGTCAAGCTGACTGCAATTGCGTGACGTCAGCTATGTGTAATCCCGGTACAAAATTTCATAACCCTATGCCTGCATACTTTAATTACTAAATTTAAGACTAATTAAAACTTGAATTTTAAAGTGGAATTTTTTTATCAGAAAATCAGCAACTCAAATTTTTTTTTTAAAAAACGTATTTTCAAAAAAAATTTTATCTGCATATTTTATAATTCAACTTATTTGAATTATAATTTCTTTAAATGTTGAATCAATGAACGAAGTGTTTAAATGAGCAATAGACAAAACCCTGTGAGACAATGAGCAATAGACTAAACCGTATGAGACAATGAGCAATAGACTAAACCATGTGAAACAATGAGCAATAGACAAAACCCTGTGAGACAATGAGCAATAGACTAAACCGTATGAGACAATGAGCAATAGACTAAACCCTGTGAAACAATGAGCAATAGACTAAACCCTGTGAGACAATGAGCAATAGACTAAACCCTGTGAGACAATGAAACAATGAGCAATAGACTAAACCCTGTGAGACAATGAGCAATAGACTAAACCTTGTGAGACAATGAGCAATAGACTAAACCCTGTGAGACAATGAGCAATAGACTTGTGAGACAATGAGCAATAGACTTGTGAGACAATGAGCAATAGACTAAACCCTGTGAAACAATGAGCAATATGATAGACAAAACACCCCTAGATTGTGGTATAAATATCAAATCTGTCAACTTTTAGATCACCCTAATTAAAGGGTGGAATGTTTTGATTGGGTGCCGCCCCTTGACAGACCGACTACCCACATCACACCCAGAGTTTCTTCCAGGTATCTCTTCGCCCCCCCCCCCCCCCCTTCCGAAGAAAGTCACCCCCCCCCCCCCCGAACGAAATGGAATTTATATAGAAAATACATACTTTTGACAGTGTCCGCCCCTCCCCCCACCCCACCCCTGGTAATTGTTGTCCACCACCCCCCACCCCCCGAAAATTTCAAGTGCACCCCCGGAGAAAAAAGTCTGGAAGAAACACTGAACACACCATGTTACCGTAACACAAGTAAACACGAAATCGATGTGACACGTGACACGACAAGGACCAATAAAATCAAACGGATATGACGCAATATTGGCAACACTACCTACACTGGTCTGGGTACTGTATCATTAAAACACATATAACATTTAATTAACCACATAAAATTAAAATAACCACAAAGCGTTAAAAAACCGACTTAGCGTTAAAATAACCACGTGACATTAAAATAATCACATAACGTTAAAATAAAAGATAAAGGTTAAAATAACAACAACACGTTAAAATAACAAAACGTTAAAATAACTACATTACCTGGAAACTCTCGTCCCGTTAAAATAGCGCTCAGCTCAGCGTCCATAGACGGCTCGTATCTAGGTAACGTGGCTGGAAGACCGGATATGATGGAGACAATCACTGACCACACGATGACCACCGCAGGCCCATTAAGGCTCGCCATTGTTCACAGATGTACTCACTGTCCCTTTCTTCTTGAAACGATGAGAAACTCACACCACTAGGCACGAAACTTAAAACATTCTCAACTTCAACACAATATCTTGTTTCAACTTGCAAATGTCAAACGGGTTAAATGACGAACCAACTTTAAATCCTGAAATCCACTGTTTTGTTTCTTTAAATTCCTGGACTTATAATGTGGACCTAGTAAAAAATACAATTCCTAAACCTGAGATTTCCTCTCTGGAACCGCTCCCGTGTCCCTACCTGGTTAGTTGTGTCGTCCGGTTGATATCCCAGCCCAACTTTTATATCAGTTCATCGTCTGACATTTTGACGCACGTGGTTGACCGACCATTCGGCACGAGACGGGAGGAGCTGCGCGCGCATGCAGTGGCGGGCACGACGGTAGTTCAAACACGAGGAGACTTACGTGCTATTGGGTGGGTGGGTGGGGGGGGGGGGAGGTTAGGCTGAGAGCTGGTCAAGATACTTCCAGGGTGAGGCAGGGTTTCTTTCTGACATTTTTCCCTGAATAGGGAGAATTGTTTCTACCAGACTTCTCCGGGGGGGGGGGGGGGGGGGGGGGGGCACTTGAAATTTCCGGAGGAAGGGGGTGGGGGGGGGGGCGAACAATGCTAAAAATATATATTTTCTAGATTGGTAGATTCTCTTCAGGCAGGCAGAGCCGGCCCCCCCCCCCACACGATGCATGACCAGAAGGGGGGGGGGGGGGAAGCTGAGGATGTGACGTCATACTTTTGCATACTGTTGAAGTAAACTGTATTGTTTTTAGATTTATTTCAGTGTAATCACATTTGATCAATGTACCAACATTTTTGTGACGATATGTGACGATGACTGACATTGTGTGACGATAAGTGACGGTGTGTGACGATGTGTGACGATGTGTGACGATATGTGACAATGTGTGACGACGTGTGACGACGGAGTGAGAAATTAAAATTGTCCCAAAACTTCTCGCCATTTAATCTATGGACGACACTTTTGGTATCGGGTTAAAAAAAAATTTAAGTAACATCAAAACCGCTACCAGGAGATCTGGATTCTTTCCAAGCTAAGTGCTTGCGAATGATAAAAGACATCCACTGGTCTAACACCATCTCCTATATATACTAGTACTAGGAGAGATGGAAATGGAGGCCGTTTTCGAAATAAACGAAAAAGATGGCGCTGGAGTCTGTAGAATGAATCCAGATGAAATCACAGGAATGGCGCTAAACTTTTCAAGGAATAGGAAAGCAAAGCCAAGGTAGACGGGGAAGCAGCTGGCAGAGGCAGGACTGTCATGGGGGACTGCCAGGAAAATTGCCGGAGACCGACAATAGTGGAGGGAGCTTTCTATGGCGGCCCCATGTGTCTTGGGCACAAAATTGAAAAGCAGATAAGTTTTGTTTAGACGATACAAGTTTCACGACGGAACCGCACTAACCGTCGAAAGGCCGTCTATAAAGGGCCGATTGTCAAAAAACGGACTGCATAGACCGGCCGACAAATAAATACCAACCGAATTGTAAATATGCTCTACTTCTCCAAATCTTACATCTTGTAATATTTCTTTTTCAAATACATTTTTAAATGTAACAATTTGTTGTGAGCTTCCGCAACTAAACGTAGATTGGTGTTTACTATTGATGTGTTTTTAACAAATGTTGAAAGTGGGACCTGCTTTCAGCTACTTGAAGCAGAGAACGACATCAGATGAGATAACGCTTAAATATACGAATAGAAATTTTACAAAAGTATACCAAGCTATGGTGGTTGAAAAAAAAAACTATAATTGTTCAAGTCATCGAAACACCTATGCGCTAGATCTCAGTTAGTCTTTAGAAAGTCGCTCTTTTGTCCAGGTTGGCCTTTTGGCTGTCGGCCATTTGACTTCTTTGTATCCGTATCGGCGATTTGGCTGTCGGTGTTTTGCACTAACCCGTATCACAAATTGTCTGATACGGAAATCTTTGAGTACCATACTTCCAATGATAGAAACTGAAGTTAATAAATTGTGGAAGGGGACGCAACTTAACCTCAAAAAATAATTCTATTACAGTTGGCGCAGATTTGATTTTATCGAATTCAAGCTGGGTATAAAACAGATGAAAACGATTCAATTCAACAATGACGCACTGGGAGCCGCCGCCCGTCTGGGCCTGTCCTATACTGACCGGTCACGTGACCCGTGTAGCAGCAATGAGACAAGATTATTGGTAAACCGGCCCCTGTGGTCATCAAATACCCCTTCGTCTCACCCCCTACAGGGTTATCTCCCTGCCCGTCGCTTATTTTGAGACGCCCCATTAGACCGACGTCGCTCTGCACGAGGATTTCCATTATGATTTCTATAAATAGAATAAGCGTCATTGGCTGCCATAAATACATAGATTCATGTTATTAAAACTTAGTACTCTTAATACGAACTTGTTGAACAAGCAAAGATAACTCGCGAGAGCTAAAAATAGAAGTGAAAAGCGGGTGAGGCTATTTATAGAAGCCGCGCGTTTTGATCGCTGTCATCTCGGTTATTTCATGGTCTGTAGTGGCGCCCAGGGAAATTCCACTTGCGGTCATAAAGTGACGCCGCTCTACTGAAATTACTCGCTTGTGCGAACTTTCTAGAAGATCACTTTTAGCGGGGCCACAGTTGACGATAAATTGGATTAGAAGAAAAATGCCAGAATAAAGAAAGTTATTTTTAGCGTGAGGGGTGACATTATGTAATACAATAAAAGTAGGTGGAAAGGAGTAGACTAGTATCAATAATAAAGAGGGCGTGGAAGGGGGGTGAACATGACATAGCCAGACATTTTTCAACAGGCGATAAAATTTAAGGTGGGGAAAAATAAATTGAAAAAATTGAAAAAGAACAGAATTTAAAGGAAAATAAAGGATTTTTTACATTAATAAAAATTCCAGCTATATTATCAAAACTAAAAAAAGATTTATATAATGTAATATCATATACAGATATTCAAATATTGTTATTAAAGTAGTGAGGTCCTATTGAGACAAAATGCTGCCACATATAGAATAGCGAAAGAGGCATAAAAAGAAAGGAAGGAGAGAGGGTATCTCGCAATCACCGCCCACACAGGATGTGACGTCATACACGATCTATGGAGACGCCGGCCGATCGCCTGCTAGCGAAGCGCTAAGTAATAATGTGCTTGAGTGGGTTGTCTCCCCTTCAAATTGGCCTGCTCGCGAGTGGCGTAGACAGGGTTCAGGGTGTGATCGCTTGTGCGCATTCAGCTTAGTATAGTATACTATATGTATATATATATATATATATATATATATATATATATATATATATATATATATATATATATATATATATATATATATATATATAGTCTAGTACCACGTACTAATTAAAGTGACATTTGTGAACACCACGATAAACATCTAAATAAACATAATAGCAGAAGACAAAATAAGAATACTAATGAAAAGGAACAAAAATAACTATTTCAATCGTGAATATATGGCAGTATTTTTATTCTATCATCTGACCTATTACTATGCAAATCCTGCTGTTTACTTGTGGGTTTTGTCAGAGTACATTCATAGCCCGCTAGATTGGCGACAAACTAACTCTTTGTTCGTCAGATTAAGCCTGCTATTTTTGTGGTGGTATGACTAAGGCTTTCCTTTTTAGAATTGCTTTTTATTACTTTGTTTTGTTATAAATTAGATGCTTTGCTTTGGATTTTCATTGATTTTACTTTGAAAAAGGGATTTTTTTTAAATGAGCTAAATTGCTGCCATTAAAAACAAATGACGGTCAAATACAAAGAGCTTCTTCAAGTGCTTATAACAGTTGTTAGCTGTCGTTTATTTCCGACATCAAGGTAAATCTCCATATTCAAGAAAAATTCGATCATGCTAATGGACGACTTATCACTTTTAAAACGATTGTTTCAATTGGCCAGTCTTAGACACATAGTTACGCTAATAATAAAACGCGTTTAAAAAAGGTAAAGCGCTGAGTCTAGATGTGTTTTTACTGTGGTGAGCTATGTTTTATACTTTATCTTAATAGCAGCTATGTTCAGTTATAGTCCAGCTAAATAGCAGCTATATTCAGCTATACTCCAATTTAATAGCAACTATATTCAGCTATATTCCAGCTTAATAACAGTTATAGTCAGCTATACTCCACCTAAACTGCTGCTTAACTGAAGTGTAATCAATGGATGAGAAACAATCACATGACCTGCCATCATAGGAATCGATACCTGGGGTTAGGGTTGCTGTATACTGTACACCCCACAATAATGGCCCACTAAATGTTAACACTGTGTTAACATTAACAGTTACAGTTAACATTACTGTACACCCCACAATATTGGCCCATTAAATGTTAACACTGTGTTAACATTAACAGTTACAGTTAACATTACTGTACACCCCACAATATTGGCCCATTAAATGTTAACACTGTGTTAACATTAACAGTTACAGTTAACATTACTGTACACCCCACAATATTGGCCCATTAAATGTTAACACTGTGTTAACATTAACAGTTACAGTTAACATTACTGTACACCCCACAATATTGGCCCATTAAATGTTAACACTGTGTTAACATTAACAGTTACAGTTAACATTACTGTACACCCCACAATATTGGCCCACTAAATGTTAACACTGTGTTAACATTAACAGTTACAGTTAACATTACTGTACACCCCACAATATTGGCCCACTAAATGTTAACACTGTGTTAACATTAACAGTTACAGTTAACATTACTGTACACCCCACAATATTGGCCCACTAAATGTTAACACTGTGTTAACATTAACAGTTACAGTTAACATTACTGTACACCCCACAATATTGGCCCACTAAATGTTAACACTGTGTTAACTGCCATGGGTTAGCTTCAAGCTACAGTTAACATTACTGTACACCCCACAATAATGGCCCACTAAATGTTAACAGCCATGGGTTAGCTTCAAGCTATAGTTAATATTACTGTACACTCCACAAGATTGACCCACTAAATGTTAACATTGTGTTAACGGCCATGGGTTAGCTTCAAGCTACAGTTAACATTACTGTACACCCCACAATAATGGCCCACTAAATGTTAACAGCCATGGGTTAGCTTCAAGCTATAGTTAATATTACTGTACACTCCACAAGATTGACCCACTAAATGTTAACACTGTGTAAACAGCCATGGGTTAGCTTCAAGCTACAGTTAACATTACTGTACACCCCACAATAATGGCCCACTAAATGTTGACAGCCATGGGTTAGCTTCAAGCTATAGTTAATATTACTGTACACTCCACAAGATTGACCCACTAAATGTTAACACTGTGTTAACAGCCATGGGT